CGGCTTTGCTCCACGTCTCCCTGGTCTGCTGGCCCTCCCTCCCCAGCAGACCAGGGAGACGCGGAGCAGCTTTTCTCTCCCTGGAGGACGCAGGCGGCAGGACCGCGGCGCATCTGGGCGTCTCGCCGCTCACGTCCTCCAGGGAGAGAAAAGCCTCGTTCGTAACTGCTGATCCGACGTAAGTCGGGTCCGTGTAACTCGGGGACTGCCTGTATTTGACTAGATTAACCAATAAGCCTAGGCTTATTGGTTAATTGTCTAGTCAACTACTTGTTGACATCCCTACTGTGGGTGTCCCAAAATATCTGTCCACCAGAAACTGGATCATTCAAGTAATTGATCATTTCCACTCAAACAACTGGCACCATCCACTGTCAGAAGACAGGATGATTAGCTAGATGGACCACTGCTAGCTTATGACAGATACTTACGTTAGGTATGTGAAAAAGGTCGAGTAAGTGTTAATACCCAGATCCTCAAGTAGCATAAATCAGCATAGGTCTACTGAAGTCAATAAAGTTATGTTATTTTCCAGCATCTAAGGGTCTGGCCCTAATCATTGATATGAACATATACATTTCAGAATTTTGCAAAGCTGCTTTACCTTTTGACTACTCCCGACACCCAGTTTAGCAAGCTGACTATGACCTACACAAATAAGGAATTCTTCATGTTTTTAGAATGTCTTGATTAATTTCACCAGTCAGAGCCTCTTGATTTGCATCGCATCTGTAAGCATACTTTCCCCATTTATTTCTTATACAACTCACATGGAATACTTTGTTCCAGACTAAATAATTTCCAGACTAAAGAACTTCCTTCTTTAGAAATACATTGCTAGCCTCCAGTTTTAGTTGCATTTTCCAGGAACTAATTACCACTATAAATAAATCAACTGCAGCTGAGTTGAATATTTAAGTCAAAGGCACGTAGACTACATATTGCTTTTCTATTCTTTTTTCTAACCCTTCAATAGAAATCATAATCTAAACTTCCTAGGATGCTATTATTCACCCTGATAGATTTCTGTTAAACTAGTCACATTACCCACACTGTTTACACTAGACCTCCCAGTTAATTCAAAATCAATACAGCATCAAATGGAAGCTCTTGTCATCATGCCATTTGATCTCAACCAAGTGAAGAACACTCACGGGGCTAACATAAAATGTTTTGGAGGTTTTATATGGAAACCCCTGTTACAAACTGAAGAATGAATTGTCACACGAGTCTAGTTACTGAGTCCCCAATATTAATTTATGACACATACCGTAGTCTAGGATGTAACATTTCGACAGCATACCATGATTTTGGTTTTCCGGGCCATATATTTTAGATTATAGGAAACACTTCCAAAAGCACCCAACCATTTACAAAAGCACTTGCCTTCTAAACCACCACACGCCCAGGAGCACAAGTGCCCTGACTCTGACCATCAAGAGGAAACCCCCTGGACAGGCCAGCGGGCAGCAACCCCTTTCCAGCCATCCCTCTTAGCTCAGGCCTCCTCCCGCTCAGCGGGTTCCCCTCCACTCTCCCCACAGCTGCAAGCATGGCCCACCTGTGTGCGCACAGCCGGCCCCGGGGCGGGCG